GTCGCCTTAGTGGATGATCTGCGCCGGGAGCTAGACAGGGGGAGGTGTGTCCCTGTTGGTGCTCCTGGACCTCTCAGCGGCCTTTGATACCGTCGACCACGGTATCCTTCTGGGGCGCCTTGCGGAAATGGGTCTTGGGGGCACTGCTCTGCAGTGGCTCCAGTCATTTCTGGAGGGCTGTACCCAGAAGGTGTTATTGGGGGACTCCTGTTCAACACCACAGCCTTTGACCTGTGGGGTTCCACAGGGCTCTATACTGTCCCCCATGCTGTTTAATATCTACATGAAGCCACTGGGTGAGATCATCCGGAGTTTCGGGGTGCGGTGTCATCTGTACGCAGATGAGCTTATAACTGTATTTATGTTTGCATTGGTTGCCCTTAGGCTGGAGCGGCCTAGCTGTTAGGAATGTGTTACCATGGAAACGAGGCAGAAGAGGAGGTGGGAGGAGCTTAGAGAGTTAAGGTTTTTGAAAAGTGACAGTTAGGGTCAGTCAGGGTTTTAGGCTCAGGGAAGAGCAGGTCAGGATTGAGACTCTGAGAAGTGAAGAGTCAGGTTTCAGTGTTCGTGAATAGTAGAGATTTCTTCAGTTAGGAAGCTGAAGGGGAAAACCTTGTTAGTTGCTTTAGTTAGAAAGAACTAACAGAGGCTGTTAAGATCGCTAGTCGGGAGAAGACTAGAGATCTGTTGTTTGATCAAGGATAGATCAAACAGGGAGACTATTCACTGCAGGGAACACTGGTTAATAAAGTGCTTCACCACAGCAAGAGTTCATAAGTTGTAACATCGAAAGTCTGAATTGTATCGCAACCAAGTTACATGTAACCTTCAATTATTTGCCAAGCTTAACATCATCATACTGCAACCATACGCTTTGTTTAAAAATAAACTTGTTCTCTTTGGTTTTTGAAACTGCCTCATCTCCATTAATTCTACGTTCGTGTACCCAATCTCCCAAAATTACCTCACAACACAAACAGGGTGGCATCCAGTGGTATTAATACCAGAGCCTTTTACAAATCGGTGGCTCCTCTCTCCTAAACCTAAGGGTCTTCCTCACTAATTGGTGGC